TGCAGCTGCGTGCGCTTTGGGACGCCGGCTGTGTGGGACGCCAGGCAGGGTGGGTCCTGACCAGTGCAAGGGTGGCCTGGAGGCTTCAAGACAGCCGAAGTCCGAAGCCACTGCAGCTCCGGGTGGGAGCAGCGGGGCCAAGTCAGACCCTCAGCAGGGACGCAAGGAGAGCTGGAGCCTGGCACCGCAGGGCCCCGGAAAGGGCTGGCGCTGTGGAATGTGAGCACGGTGGGGCTGGGGAGGATGTGGGGAAGGCTGGGAGAGTTCAGCTGTTGGTGATTTCATGCCTCCTCCTCAGTCACTTCTTGGGGACCAGCCCCAGTCACAGAGCCCAGGTGCCCAGGAAGGTCAGGTTTCCGCAGCAAGAGAATGAAAAGGAGATTTCCTCCAGAGGGGAGAGCCCTCTTCCCTGGAGAGAGCTGCAGCTGCCCTCAAATATACTCCAGGATTAGGCCAAATCCTACAGCAGGTGGATGGAGTGAGGGCTCCCAGTTAGGGTCCTGGGGCTGTGGGAAGCAGTGGGCAACTGGAGGTGAAGTGTGCACAGGCTTGATTATGTGCGATTATCAGACCATGCCTGGTCGTGGTAACCCAGGAGTGGTCACCTTGGTCCCCTCTACCAAGCCTTTACTGTGCCCAGTGCTGCTGTGGATGGGGGTTTGGGGCCAGGGAGCAAGGAAGGTAATAGCTAAACTGGATCCAGGGCTGTGCAGGCATGTGTGGGGGACCATCTGGGAAGACTCAGAAAATGGGGCAGCTTCTTCTGGTGAAGGGAAAGAGTGGGAGCAAGGGTGGAGGATTGATTTTCACCGGAGATGTTTTTTCTACTTGAACCCAGGGCCTCATACAAGTGTTCCACCACTAAGCTACATCTGCTGCCCTTTGTTGAAAACTCTTTTCTTTTGGCAGAACTGGGGATTGAACTCAGTCCTCAGTCTCTCCACTCCGGCCTTTGCGCTTGCCAGGCAAGCACTTATTCTACTGAGCTATCTCCTCAGCCCGAAAACTCTTTTCTTGAGACATGATTTCATTAAGTAGTTTAGCCTGGGCTTGAACTCACTATGTAGCCCTAGCTAGCCTCAAACACATGCTACCCTCCTGCCTCAGTCTTCTGAGGGCTGGGATTACAGGTGTGTCCCACTACACTGGGTTTCTGTAGTGACTCTTTTTTTTTTTCTTTTTTTTTCGTCCGGGGATTGAACTGAGGACCCTGCGCTTGCCAGGCAAGTGCTTATTCCACTGAGCTATCTCCCCAGCCTAAAGGTATATAAGGGTTTTTTTTTTTTTTTTTTTTTTTTTTTTTTTTTTTGGCAGAACAGGGGATTGAACTCAGGCCCCTGTGCTTGCCAAGCAAGCACTTATTCCATTGAGCCATGTCCCCGGCTGTAGTGACTCTTTAAACTGTGGTTTGCAGGTGTGAAGCCCCCGCCTCTCCAGTAGCATCTGTATCCCTTGTGAATTTCCTAGAAATGCAAATTCCCAGGGCTGCATGTAAATGTATGGGGTGGGGCCCAACAGGTAACTGTGATACAGGTCACAATTTGAGAGTGACTATTTAGGAAAACACTACCTAGGGGTTAAGGCTGCACCTCAGTGGTAGAGCAGCTGCCTGGCATGTGTAAGGCCTGGATTTGGATTCGCACACACAAAAAACCAGCCCCTCAAAGAGAGTGCTATCTAAGCTGTGTTTGTGTCCTACTCAACCCAGGTTATGGACATCTTTCATCATAGTGAGGAGAGCCCTGGAACAGGGGGACCCAAGCCTGGAAACTGGCCTAGAATGGGTGGGAGCCCACAGAGGCTGCCCTGAGAAGTATGTATTTGAGGAAGGAGTAAGATTTGGCCAGGTGAGAGCAGCAAGGAGCAGTGTCCCCAGGAAGGAATTGGCTCTGTGAGACCTTAATGTGAAGAGACTGAAAGTCACAGGTGGTAACAAAGTGCCGGGCCAACGCCGCCCCTCCCCCCCAGACATCCCACTAACATACCTCCTCACTTTGTGCCTACCTGGAGCCCCACCCAGTCCTTTGAACTGTTGGGCCGAGGGTGAACTCTGGTGGACCACCACCTGGCCTTGGGCATCAGTTCTACTTTTCCATCTCTGACCTTGGGCCGGACACTTTCCTTCCGAGCCTCATTGTCCTCATCTAGGAAATGGGATGAGAAGATTTTCCCGGAGGGCTGCTGTGAGAAGAGAATGAGATCACCAGGTCTCCACAGTGACCTGGCCCTGGAGTCTATTCCCTCCTAATCTCCATGCAGTGACAGCTGTTGTTTACTAAGCACTTGAAGCACTCTGAGGGGGACATCATCATTCATTCCTCTGTTGCTGTAGGAAAATGGATGCTCAGGGAGGGTACATCCCTCCACCCCCCACACTTGCACAAGCTGACCCTCCCTCCCAGGTGCCCATTACCTAGCCAGCAGCTTCCTGTCCCTTGGCCAGGGCTTCCCTGGTCAGAGGGGCTGTCTGTTGCTCTTGTCAGAGCCCTGATTGACATGAGCGGCCAGCAAGCAGCAGTGTTTGGACAGCAGCCCAGGGCTTTTCACTGGCTTGAAAACCACGGAGAACCCAGGCAGATCAAGGGGGTCTTGCCCCAGCTGCTGCACAATGCCCAGGTCAGGCAGGAGAGGGCAGGCGAGACGGAGCAGCAAAGCCTGCACGGGGAATTAGCAGCATCTGTCTCCCTCTGACATGGGACATCAGGAATGTGGGGGAGCCTCAGCAAGCATGTGCCTGCCAGGGATGCTGCCAAGGAGGGGACACAGGATGGGCAGCTGAGTTTCTCTTGGCCCCAGGAGCTACTGTACCAGGCAGCAGCTGTCCCTGTCATTCTGAGTGACCTGATTGTGGTCTTCAGTGTGCAAGGGCCTGCTGGGAACTGGCAGTGTCATCCAGCTCTTTTATGGAACCCCCCTTTGTTTTCAGTGCTGGATTTCAAACCCAGGGCTTTGTACCTGCTTGGTAAGTCCTCTACCACTAAGCTACACCCTCAATTGTTAGGCTGATTTTGTTTTTTGGTTTTGGTACTGGGAATTGACACCGGGGATCACTGAGCCTTTATTTTTCAATCTGAAACAGGTCTCCCTAAGTTGCCCATTCTGGCCTTAAACTTGCAGTCCTGCCTCAGCTTCCTGTGTAGCTGGGACTATAGATGCATCCCCCACACCTGTCATATTGCTCTATTTTGCCACCACTCAAGGGGCGGGGGGACGTCTGGGTTGGTTGATCCTGATGCTACAGGGACTCTACACAGTTTTCCTCTAGTCCCTCAGCTCTCCCTTCCCCCAAGCATGTGTGGGGAGGGCTGCTGTTCTGGGATGGGTTGCCCTGGCAAGGCACTTGACACTGATCAGTAACTGCCAACGGGAGACTAAGTTTGGGGTAGGGGCTCAGTGTGAATGTGTGGGTGTCCCAGGGAGCCAGTGAGGAAGGAGCATAGGCCAAGAGCTGCTCTGGGATCCTGCTCTGTAGATACCTGCAGGGGAAGGGGGAGCGAAAGAGACCCTGGAGACCTTGGGCTGGGCACGGGGAGACACAGAGTCACGGAGCCTGAGCCCCAGCAAATGACCACAGTGTAAACCACAGGGCTCCACAGCATACCCTTCCCAGTCACCAGGGCACCATGGCTGGGAGGCAGGCAGAGCAGTGCACCTGATAGGCTGAATGTGACCATTGGAGAAGTGACAGTGCTGGTTTCAGGCACTGAAGCTGGACACTTAGAAAGAGCAGGATTTCATCCTCCTGGCTCCAAATCAAGTGCATTTTGCACCTCAGGATAGTTTCTGAGGGAAAAGAGTGCTCAGTCACTCCAATTGTCACTCGGATGCAGAGCCCTGGAGGTGTGGATCAGGACCTAGTGAGCTGCAGAATACATGGCAGACTGGCACTGTGATTGAAGTCAATCCCTTCCCAAGCAGCTGCTGTTTTCTAGTGTGGTCCCCAATTGAGGACCCAGCTTTACAGTCTATATCCAATCTCTCTTATCCTAGATGTACTTTGAGCCACCACTCCCTAGGAGCCTGGAAGAACAATGCAGGCAGACTCCAGAGAGCAGGCCTTGTCCAGGCCCAGGGGCTGCAGGAACAGGGCAGATCACGGAACACTGGACCAGGCACCACCTTCAGTTCCCCATGGGCTACCTTGAGACTTAGGGATACAGAAGAACTGCCAAGGGGCTGGTGAGATGGCTCAGTGGTCTAAAGCACCTACTCAGAACAAGCTTAGCAAAGCACAGGGACCACGGTTCAATCCCCAGCACCACATGCCAGCCAGCCCCCACCCCCTGGTGGGCTGAGCTGGCCACACACAAATAAATAAATAAATAAATAAAATTTAAAAAAATAAATTACCTTAAAAAAAAAAAAAAGAAGAAGAACTGCCAAGACAGAGCCATGGAAGGAAGGTTCCAGGCTCAGAGGTCTGGGAAGCTGATCCCTTTGAGAGTGAGTCTGAGAAGAGGTCCGTGACGGCCTCTCCAGCAGAGGACCATGCAAGTAGGGACAGCTGCAGCTCAGCCAGGCAGCAACCAGCTGCTGCCTGGGAGGCTGGCCAGGGCAGGGTGGGGTGGGCACAGCTCCCACGAGCCCCAAGCATAAGTCTGCAGAGCGTGGGAGTAGGCAGTGGCTGGAGGCTCAGTTTCAGGTTTTCATGCTGTGTTAACAGTTTGGTTAATGCTCAACAGATGGGGGAAGGGACTGCTAGCCTGGGGACAGCCCCTGCCAGTGCAGAAGGTACCAGGGTCCTGTCCTGTGGATGGTACATTGTGTGTGCCTGTGCCCATGAATATATCCACACCACTGCCTACACAAGACAGTACTGCAAGGACAGATGGACAGACAGGTGTGCATGGGCTCCTGCTCTACACTGGGACAGTAATCCCAAGCCTGGCCCACAGCCCCATCTATGTTACCAGGGCATCATCCCATCTTGGGGTTCCCGCCACCTTATTCCCCCTGTCCGTGATCCTTGGGGAAGACACCAGACACACAGACGTTTATTTCAAAAAAAATAATTTATAAAAGGTTATCTGGTTCTGTGTTTGGCAAGTTTCCAGTCTCTTGAGAACCAGTACTCTGTCCACCAAGATACTGGGAGGAGCAGCGGGGGCAGGGGTAGAAGAAACTTGGAGAAATGGAGGTCAGAGGCCTTTAACCTCTGATGCTGTGAAGCAGGCAGGGTTAGGACATCATTTCTGTGGCCAGGCCAGCCAAGCCCCAGAACAGGAACTGAGTCAGGAGCAGAGCAGAACCTTTCCAGTTCTCGAGCAATCAGGACACTGGCACCATAGCTCCAAGGGAAAGTCAGGATACTGCAGATTATGGTTGGAACCAAAGACAGCTGAAAGCCTTAGCTAGGAACCTGAGGATGAATCAGACGCACCTCCCAAAGGAGAATCAGCCAGTGTGGCAGATGCCTGTACTCCCAGCACTTGGGAGGATGAGGCAGGAGGATCGCCGTGAGTTCAAGGCCAGCCTGGACTACATAGTGAGACCCTGTCTCAAACAAAACAACACAACACAATCAAACCAAACTAAAGAGAAGCCAGAGATCTGGGACAGCACTCTGAGGACAGGTCCCTGGGGTTGCCAAAGTCAAATGCTATGCCAAGTTTTGGCTGAGCCAGGAGCCCAAGACTACTGGCCTACTTGCCCAAACAACCTCATGCTACTGCTCATGTCTGTACTCCAGGAAAGGGGAAGAGGTTTGTGCCCAGTGGCAGGGGCTCGTGGCTGAAGACAGAGTCACTGGAGGAACAGGTACTGCTGGCATCCTCACCAGAAGGGGAGTAGGGTCCAAAGGTCAGGCGGAGGTCAAGGTACTGAAAGGAAAAGATTCAGATCAGCCTTGGAGCCAGACCCGACGAGATGCTCCATGTCCATACATACGGTCAGGGCTAGGAGGCCCAAGGGAGCAGGCAGAGGGGTCATGGAACAGGAGGGAGCAGTACCTCCTCGGAGATGGCCAGCAGGACTTTGTCTAGTGCTTCCACTAGCTGCTTGAAAGTGGGCCTCTGGGAGGGCACCGCGTGCCAGCACTCACGCATCAGCCCGTACCTGGCAGAGGTGGGGCGAAGGTGGTTAGGGGTGCCTCAGGCCTTGAAAGGGAAGTTATGGGGTCTTTGGGGTTGCAGGGGGCTAGGTGAGTCCACTGCAGAAGGGTACAGTAGCCAGGCTAGGACTCCTCACTAGGCCAGAGGGGGATTTGGAGGAGGAGGAGGAGGAAGAGGAGGACGAGGAGGAGGAGGAGGAAGAGGAAGAAGGGGAGGAGGCGGCAGCAGCTGCCACTGGTCAGCTTATGGTCAAGGTTGGGGCACAGGAGAAGGTCTACAGGTGTGGGAGGGTGGGACAAAGCCTCACAGCTCTGGGGGGCAGTGTGGGGGCCGGTCCATCCGATGCCCCTCCCGCAGCAGTGAGAACAGCTCTTCCACAGGGATGCCAGGATACGGGGAGCCCCCGAGTGTGAAGATCTCCCACAGCAGGATCCCAAAGGACCACCTGGAGGCAGGACCAGTGCTCAGCAGGGCCCAGCTGCCCTCCTTGCTCCTGGAGGCCGGCAAAGGCACACTGCAGGTGTGCTCTATGACTGGGGGTAGGACTGTGCTTCCTTTGGAGTCTGATCCCACTCGGGCCTGACGTGAAGGGGCCCTTTTCCCTTCATAGTTTACTCTATTTGACAGGGTCTCAATGTATAGTTTAGGCTGGCCTCAAACTCACAGTGATCCTCCTGCCTGAGCCTCCTGAGTGCTGGGATTACAGGCACACACCACCATGCCCAGCAAGAATAAACACTCTTATTCTGATGGTCTCAACTCCTCTATGGGACCTGACCTAGGGGCTGTGTTCCTATAAGCTCATTTGTGTTACTTTATTAAATTGCCTTTAATTCAGAAGGAACATTGACTACAGAACTCCTTAGAGCCCAAGGATGTTGTTGGCAAGTGCCTTGCTCTTTCTGTGGGGTAAGACAGTGACTGCTGGCAGACGTCTCAGACCCCTGCTTCCGGGACTCACACGTCACTCTGGTGTGTGTACACGCGGTCAAACAAGGCTTCTGGGGCCATCCACTTAACAGGCAGGCGGCCCTAAAGGGGAGAGGGGCTGGTGATGCGCTGAGTCACAAGGTCCCTTCCCCCCGCCTCCACCTCCCAGCCTTTCTCATCCTCACATTGCTGGTTTTCTTGTAGTAATCAATGTGGTGGATGCCACGGGCCAGCCCAAAGTCAGCAATCTTCATGACATTGTCCTCGGTCACCAGCACGTTGCGGGCAGCTAGGTCCCGGTGGATGCACTGGGGGCAGGCAGGGCAAGACAGGAAGCCGATTTAGGTCTCTGAACCCCCATAGCTGGGAGCAGTGCATACACCATCCTACAGTAAGCTGGAGGGTGGGCTGGGCTCAACACTTTTTTTTTTTTTTTTTTGGAACCAGGGATTGAAATCAGGTCCTTGCACTTGCAAGGCAAGTGCTTATTCTACTAAGCTATCTCCCCAGCCCCTTCAACACTTTTTACACAAAGAGAAAGTCAAGGTTCAGGAAAGGAAAAATCTGGCATCTAACTTCAAGAGCCCATGGCCTTCCTAGCAGCAGTGCTCCCCTATGTGTTGAGGAGCAGTGAAGAGTGAATGCAGACCTGCAGGGCTAACTACCTCAGGTTTTGGTGTATGGGGAGGATATGCGGGTCCTAGTGAAAGACAGCCTGGTAAAAGAGGGGAAAAGGACAAGTTGGGGCCATTTCAGGTCCCCCACATGAGTGCGGAGATGGAGCAGTTAGGAGTCCAGAGCACTGTTGCCCGCACCTTCTGTGACTCCAGATACTGCATGCCTCGGGCCACCTGGTAGGCACAGGAGACCAGGGCGGGGAAGGAGAGGGGCCCCTCGCTGCTCCGTGGCCCATCAGGGCTAAGGTCGGGGCCTGGAGGACGCCTGGCACGGAGGAACTCCCGCAGGTTGCCCTTGGCAGCACACTCCACGATCACATACAGGGGCCCTAGGGGGAGGCCAGGGCAGGGGGAGGGAGGCTGTTATGGTCATGGTCTCCACCCCAACTACCCCATAGCCAGCCTGGCCCCTGCCCCACCTTCCTGGGTGCAGACACCCAGCAGGTTGATGATATTCTTGTGTCGGCCGATCAACTTCATCACTTCCATTTCAGAGACCAGGTCTGCTAAGTCCTTGTCAGAGGCGTTGTCTGTAAGGGCAACAGTGGGGAGTAGGGGTGGGTGGGTGGGTGAGGAAGCTGCCTGTGGCAGGGAAGGTTGCAGGACTAAGCACAGGTCACAGAGCACATGACTAAGCTGTGTGGCCTTAAAATATCTCTTAACCTTTCTGAACCTCAGGGTTGTTTTGAACAAAACAGAGTGGTAAATCATACCCAACCTCCTACAGCAGTGGCAAGAATACAAGATCAGTGCTTGCCTGGCAAGCACAAGGTCCTGAGTTTGATCCCTGGTGCCACCAAAAAATAAATAAATAAATAAAATTTAAAAAACCAAGATCAAGGATCTGAAAGGCATAAGCCTTTTAGAGGGCAAGTCCAGGAAATGAGAGCGATAGGGAAGAGCTCTGACCAGGAAGGAAGCTGCATCTGCAGGGGCTGGCGCTGGTCCCTGATCAGGGTGAGCTCCTAGGGGCAGGAAGCCGGCTGGCGCCCTGAAGTGTGTCAGACCAGGACCTGGTGTCCATCTGGCCTGGAATTCAGGGAGCTGCTGGAAAGGAACAGCTGGAAAAAGCTGGCAAGAAGCCTGCTCTAGATTCCCTAGAGGAGCCTGAGGACCAGGGCCTGGTCCCCCAGGGCTGACCTGTGGCCCTGGACAATGACATAACACTTCCCCTATCCACGCACCAGTTATCATAAAGCATATTTCTCAATCCCTGCCTCCCAGAAAGTGCCAGGTGGCCCCAGCTGTGCAGAGGAAGGAGAGAGGGTGAGAGGGGTGGTTTGGGCCATTCTTGCAGAGGGGGCTCTGGGATTGCAGCAAAAGGCTCCAATGGGCAACTTCCAAGTGTCCTGCAGAACATATTAGAGCTGCTGCTTGGGTTCTGTGGCTTTTAAACAAAAGGCTCTTTTCCTGTCCATAGAAGAACAGACCTAGAAATGGTCCAAAGGGGGTTGAGGTTGTTTAGGGGAAACCATAGGGTAGGCAACCTATGAGGCTGACACGCAACACATGAGTGAGGTTAAGGCTGACTGGTATAGGCAATAGCTAAAGGGGACATTAGGCTCCAGTTACCCCAAATCCTCAGTCATCATCACTCCAATGGTTAGGATTTGTTGAGCCCTGATTACAGGGCAGGCATATCCCATGAACCTCAGGCTAAGATGTAGGGACTAGTATTTACCCCATGTTACAAAGGAAAATCAGGCTCAGGAGTGACGTGGCAGGGTCAGCAGCAGAGTTGGGCCACAGGCTCAAGGGTGGCACCCTGCAGCCTCCCTCAGTCCCCAGTGCTCAGTCAACCATGAGCCCCTTCTGTGAGTCCAGGGCCATTATGTCTTCCCCAGGGACCACATGCACCTTTGAGCATCTTTTTTTTTTTTTTTTAAACTATTTTTTAATGTTCCTTCATTTAATATATTTTTTATTTTTTTATTATTTATTCATTTATTTTGTGTGTGTGGCCAGCTCAGCCCACCAGGGGGCAGGACTGGCTGGCATGTGGTGCTGGGGGATTGAACCGTGGTCCCTGTGCTTTGCTTAGCTTAGTTTGTTCTAAGTAGGTGCTTTAGACCACTGAGCCATCTCACCAGCCCCGAGCATCTTTTTTTAATTTATTTATTTATTTATTTATTTATTTATTTATTTATTTATTTTTATTTATTTTTTATTTATTTTATTTTTTATTTTTTATTTTATTTTTTTACCTTTGAGCATCTTGACAGCCACAGTGCTTGTTTGGTCCGGTTGGGCAGGATCCATGCCGATGGCCTCTGCACACACCACCTGCCCAAAGCAGCCCTCGCCCAGGGGCTTCCCGAGCACCAGCCTGCAGATAGGAAGCCTACACCTCAGACCTCTGGGGATCACTGCCCAGCCTGCATTTCCACCCTCCCTCTGCCCAGTGTACCTGTCCCGAGGGAACTCCCACAGTGGGTCCAGAGGTAGGTCTAGATTCACAAGGCCAGCAAGCAAGGGAGGACCACTGGAGGAGAGCCGGACACCTCGCACCAGGGATGAGCTTGACTTGCCGGAGGAGCCAGACTCCAAAGAGAACTGCAAAGTGGAGGACTTGGCTCTGCCTTCTGGGGTCAGGCTGAGAGCCTTATGGAGGATGGGAGTGGGGGACGGGATGGTACCTGTCGGCCCAAAGGGAAGCGGGACAACTTTTGCACAGTGGCAGGCTGACGGGGATGCCGGCTGTGAAGCGCCTGTCCTCGATACAGCCCAGCCAGCAGCAGGAGCACAGCCAAAGCCAGGGAGCCCGATGAATACAGAATGATGTCTGTATACTTGACCTCGGACACTGCTGCTGTCCACGTGGGGTCTTCCTCTGCCCTCACAGATGGACACACACAATCAAGAAAATTACCATTCAGTGGTCAGACTGGCCAGGCCCTCCCTACACCTCAAGGTCCTCTGCTGCACACACATAGTGGCACACACTAAGAAAGCTTCAGGTACATCCAGTCCCACACCCCATAGCTTAGAGCAGTGGTGACGAATCTAGGGCACTGTGTTTATTTGTTTCACTTTTAAGACAAGTGATATTAATGTATGAGCTATTTTTTCTAAGCTACAACCTCAGTATTCAGATTTAATTGCAGTTTAACTTTGCAACAAATAAGTGGGTTTTGGAAAGCTTTTCTAAATGAGGAGAGTCCCAGCACTTGGGAGGCTGAGGCAGAAGGATAGTTGCAAGTTTGAGACCAGCCTGGGCTACAAAGTGAGCTCAAGTCCAGCCTAAATTCATAGTAAGAGCCTGTCTCAAAAAGATAGGGCTGGGGAGATGGCTCAGTAGAACAACTGCTTCCCTGGCAAGTGCAAGGGCCCAAGTTCAATCCCTGGTTCCACAAAAAAAAAAAAAAAAAAAAAAAAAAAAAAAAAAAAAAAAAAAAAAAAAAAAAAAAAAAAAAAAAGACATAAATAAAATTAAAAAAAGAAAAGAAAAAAATAAATGAAGGGGAAAGGGGTTGGAGGGAGGGAAGGGAAATGGGAAAAAAAGAAGTAGGGTACAAATTGCCTATGATGAATGTGATCATTATGAATTCTTTTTTTTTTTTTTTTTCAGAACCAGGGATTGAACTCAGGTCCTTGCGCTTGCCAGGGAAGCACTTATTCCACTGAGCCATCTCCCTGGCCCTGAATGTGATCATTATGTATATCTAAAAAGTACCAATAAAAAAAGAAAAAAGTGGGTTTTGTGTTGCAGTTTGGGCACTTGTCTCTAAAGTTTGACATCAGTACTCTAGAGGGTCACACACACACACACACAGAGTCATATGTAGAATCAAACACACAAATCCCGCCTACAGGTGTAGCTCAGTGGTACGCTACTTGCCTAGCACCTGTGAGGGTCCAGGCTTAATCCCAGCACCAAAACCAAGTCCACGTTAAGCTCAGACCCACACATTGCATCCAGACCCTATAGGCCAAGGATAGCTCAATAGGCTGCAGCCACTGCGGAGCCACAGCGAGATCCCAGCCTCTCCTGCCCCTCAGGTGCTCACCTGGCAGCACAGTGAGCCAGGCTGACTGGTAGGAGAGGCCAATGGAGTTGCCTGCCAGGCAGGTGTATTCACCTGCATCCTCGGCTGACACATTCCGCAGGTACAGGACCTCCACCTCTGAGCTATTGATGTCTGCTGTCTGGGGATGGGGCAGGCCCTTGAGTTATTTCAGGGACTGGTGCCACAAAGTGGCTAAGAGAGCAGCTGGGGACCTTCCCACCCACCCGGTCTGGAGATGGCCTCCGTGGGGACTGTACCTTCAGGACTTGCACATAGGGGAAGCCATCGGCACCGAAGCTGCTGCCATTGATGACGATGTGCTTCAGCCACTGGATGTGGGGCTGGGCATCGCTGTACACCTTGCACAGCAGCTCCACGTCACTGCCTGCCACAGCTGTGGTGTTGGCTGGGAGCCCCGCCTGCAGGATGGGCCGGTGCGGGGACCGCTCTGGGGGCCAGGCCAGGCCGTCAACCCTCACCAGTGGCACCCACAGAAGCAGCTTGTTTACTTGTATCCAGCCATCCCCCAGCTCAATGGAGGGACCCTCTTGATGTGCAGCTCAGATTACATGCATCTCTTGGCTTAACCTGTTTAACCTTCCATGGCTCCCCACCGGCTTTTGGTTCAAGACGTCTTAGCCTCGGGATCCCCACATAAATGCTGCACTCCAGCAATGCATCTCCTTACAGACAGATGCACTGTGTTCTTCCAGTCAGCCCAGCCCTCTGCCTGGATGCCTCTCTCTGACCCACCTGGTCACTCTGAGGTAACAGGCTCATCTAAGACCAAGTACACTTTAGGTGCCCTTCCTCCCCCAGGACAGAGCTGAGCCTGCGATGTGTCAGTCTCCCACATGCACCTCCATAACCACCCCTGCCCATTCGCTCACCCAGCACATCCAGCAAATAGCTGTAACGGATGCTGCCCAGAGGATTCTCCACAAGGCAGGTATATGTGCCACGGTCTGAGGGCACCACGCTTTCCATCACCAAACTCCAGTGCTGGTGGCGCAGCTGAGGGTGAAGGAGATGTTCATATGAACCCACCAACCCATGTCCACCCAGAAAGCTGGGGCACAAAGAGCCTAGATCCTGCCCATAGCTCTTTTCAAGCTTGAAAGACCCCTGGGCCTGGAGGGTTCATGCCACAGCTAGGGATCTTGGGCCAAGAAAAATGCCTTGAGTCCTGGGGTTTGAGTCTTGAGAGTTTTAGCTCTACTTCTCTGTACTTGTGCCATTTCCTGCCAGTATTTGCCCTCTCTGAGACTCAGCCATCTCACGCTAGCATGGAATTGACCCTGTAGGGTCTTATGAAAATGAGATGCTGAAGCTTACTGGCACCTACTAGTCAATGATGCTTTCCACACTACAAAAGAAATTGCTAAGTCTGAGAGGTTAAGTCATTTGCCAGAGAATGGCAGTATGGGATCTTGTTAGGCTGCCTCAACATCACTATCATCCTGCCTCAGTCTCCCTCATGCTGGGATCGTAGGCATGTGCCACCATGTCTGGGGTGCAGAGTGGGATTTTGAGCCATAGCAGACCAGATCCACAGTTCAGGATTCCCTCTCAGGCCCCACAGTTGCCTTCCTCATTAGATTTCTTTATATGTATGAAAGGCTGATGGGCAATGAAAGTGGGCCAACAGATCATCCTGGAAGCCAAGACTCACTCGAATGCCCCCAATGCGATTCTCTCCATGGAAAGCCTGCCCATCCTTGAGCCAGTGGATGGTGGGCATGGGGTTGCCTGCAGCTGGACAGCGGAACTTAACAGTGTTCCCAGCAGGCACTGCATGCAGTTTTTTCTCCATACGTTGGGGATGTGTCCAGTAGGGTGCTGGAAGGGGAAGAAGTACTTAGCACCCCCAAAATGACCACCAGCTCTCACACTCTTTGGTAACCAGATGAGCAGGGGGGCATTAGTCTTTGAAGGCTCAGGCCAACCTTGCTGGAGGTAAATATGCCCATTTGAGGAGTCTCCATTGGCCTTGAGGTCTTCATCATAATTGCTTGAAGTCAAGGACTCTATATTAGGGACAGAAGGAGTTCCAAGAGGGGGTAGTCTCTATTCTAGGAACCCCTTAACCCTCTGCCACCCCCTCTTACCATCTGCAGCCAGAGTGAGATTGTGTAGGACAACCATGGAGCCACGTGCCAGACAGACGTAGTGGCCGGCATCCTCTGGTAGGAAGCTGGCAATCTCCAGGCGGCCCCTCCAGCTCCGTACCCGGCCAGCGGGTGCCAGGCGGTTGCCCTCCTTGTACCAATGACCACCACGCTCCCCTAGCCCACAGCACAGTTGTACAGGCTGCCCAAGGGCAATGGTCAGCTCTTGCTGCTCTGGACTGGGGGCTAGGCAGGGCTCTGAGAGTAGACAGCAGAAGTTAGTGAGCCCCTCAGTCCCATCTGAGGTAGACTCTTGCAAACAAACAACATGCTGCAGGAGCACTTTGACACATGCTTGAATAAGTTGTCATTCCTCTGAACATATAACCACATGCCTCAGATTCTGGGGCAGATCACACACATGGTACTGGGCACACATGCTAGACATAGCACTGCCCAAGACACACACACACACACACACACACACACACACACACACACACCCGAGCACATGCTATAGATGTTACACACAAGGCGCATGCCACATTTCTGGGGCACATCACACTCATAGTGCACGTACCACACATGCTGCCTGGCCTTTCCAAGTGTACACCCAGTGCACAATACACACACACACACACACACACACAGCCAAGAGGGCTCACCACTGGCTCTGCAGCCCAGCTTGGAGCACTGTGCCCTGCAAGGCCAGTCCTTTCTTGTAGACAGAGATAGGTAGATGTTGGCTGGGAGCTACACACTGAATCTCTGCTTGAGCCCTGCCTGGCTGCCACCATCTCAGGGCCAGGACCAGGATCCTTTCCAGCTCTGCTTAGCTAGCAGCCCCCTCCTGGTGCCCACACAGCCCTCCCTGCCACCCTCTCCCACCACAGAGGTCATACCCGGGTCCATTTCCTCAGAGGCCTCATGGGACAAGACCGAAGCCCTAGGTGGCCCTAGCAGGAGCCCCAACAGGGCCAACAGCAGTTGCATCTCCTTCCTTCTGTTCTCAAGGACTCAGGCTGGAATTCCCATCGACTGTCTTCCTAAAGCAGGGAAGAAAAAGAGCTTATACTCCATGTGTCTTTGCTGCTCTTCCCTGATTTTGTAGATGAGGAAACTGAGGCAGGAAGTGGCCAGTAGGTTCATCCAACTCCCCACCCAGCCTGTAGCAGGGCAGACACTGGGTTTATTTGTGCTGCTGCCAGACCAGAGGCCTCCCCACAGGAGGTTCTGCAGGGGGTGAGGTTGGGCTTCCTCCTCTCCTTGGTTCCTGCTGAGACCCTGGCATGAGTTCACAGTAGTTTTGGGATTCTTTCCTTGGAGAGAAGCAGAGATTGTGACACGTCCTCTCCTCGCTCTCAGCACACATCATTTAGCTTTTGCTGAATAAATGAATTTATTGCTGAAGAACCAAGTGTGTGGGGGGTTAAAATATAATAGAAGCCAAACTTTAGCATCTGGATGCTATCTAATCCGACCCCCACTCTATAGCGTTACTGTCATTTCCATGTTCAGCTTGGGATCCCTCCAGTGGCTGGTGCTCACAACTAACATGGCAGCACACTCCAGATCCAGCAGGACATTCTCCTTCATTCTGAACCAGAAATGCAACCCAGAGGCACTTCTGCCTTTTGGGTCAAGTGCCATCTTCTAAGGCAATGGGTTTTTTAGTTTATTTTGTTTTGTGAGACAGGGTCTCCTACACAGTTCAGGCTGGCCTTGACCTCACTAAGTAGCCCAGGCTCAGCTAGAACTCATAATGATTCTCCTGCCTCTGCATCCTGAGTGCTGAGATCACAGGCATGCACTGCCATGTCTGACAATTGTTTGTGTATGTGTGTTTAAAGAGAATAAAAAATAATACATTAAGGGGCTGGTGAGATGGCTCAGCGGTCTAAAGCACCTACTTAGAACAAGCTAAGCTAAGCAAAGCACAGGGACCGCGGTTCAATCCCCCAGCACCACATGCCAGCCA